TATTATGAGAATAGCATGGGGGAAATCCATCCTCATGATCCAGTCACCTCCCACCAGGTCCCTCTCCCAACGTTAAGTATTACAATTCAACATGAGATTTGTCTGGGGACACAGAGCCAAACCATATAAACTTGCTTTTGTTGTACACTACCGCTCCCAAGATTCATCACATTACACTGTTTTGCCCATTTACTTGTCTGTCTGTAGGGCAAGTATGTGAGAAATGAAAGGCAAAAATCATGTCTGTTTTATTGCAAGTTATCATTGTATCCACAGCACCTATTATAGCTCCTGGCAAATAGTAGATGCTCAATAAACAGGTGTTGAAATGACAGATCTGGGAGGATGGTCCAAATTTGCCTCATGGAGTGTAATGGTGATGTGATGCTATCACCCTAGTCTCTCCCAGGTCTCAGAGTCATTACTGAGAAGGTTCTAGATGTTTTAGTGTGACCAGAAGGGCAGGGTGGAAGGGCATGGAAAGGTGTGGAGCTTACAACCTAAAGCTACCCGTTATTATATACAGATTAAAAACAATGCCGTTCTGTGAGTAATGGCATTCACAGCAACCTGGATGGGATTGGAGACCATTATTCTAAGTGAAATAACTCAGGAGTGGAAAACAGAACATGTTCTCACTCATAAGTGGGAGCTAAGCTTTGAGGATGTGAAAGCATAAGAATGATACAATGGACTTTGGAAACTCAGGGGAAAGGGTGGGAGGGGGTGAGGAATAAAAAACTACACATTGGGTACAATGTACACTGCTCAGGTGATGGGTGCACCAAATCTCAGAAATCACCAGTAAAGAACTTTCTCATGTAACCAAACACCATCCATTCCCTCAAAACCTATTGAAATACATTAAAAAATTAGAAAAACCAATGTCGTTCTACAAATGATATATATTATCCAAATGTAACGAGTTTATAGAGGATTCTCAGTTTAAGGGGCTTTTAACTCCAAGTGGCTTAGTTTTCCTAAACGCTGCTTTCATCTGTGGTCTTATAAACTCTTTTCTCTATCCTTAACAGTTAAGTCATTATAGAGTATTTAGATTATTAAAGGTCACTACAGTCCTGTTTCAAGCTCCAACATCGTGTCTGTTTTAAAGCATCCTGCTCCACCATTACCAGCTAGATTGTAGTGGGAGTGCTGGGAGGGGTGAGGGTTTAGAGAACTCTTTCTCTGCTCCTCCGGCACCAACACCTTAGAGAAGGGTGGGGATAGTCCAATTCTGAGATGCCTTTTTATCACACTTCTCAGCCTCAGGATTGGGAAGGGGAGAGATGTAAAGGAGGGGGTAATCATTTTGGCCTCACCCTAGTTTGATGTGCTTCTAACTGATGCTGATATATATTCTCTACTGATGTGGAGCTCTCCACCGAGTTGGTGGTCAGGGTTGTTCCTGATGTGAAATCCAGCCCCCTCAGATATGGGGGTGGAACTCCTCAGATATGGTTGTTCCCCAGAGAAGAAAAGCTGTATCTACGACTGGTCCTAAAAGTGGTCCTTGTTCTAAGCCCACTATCTGGGTAAGGTTTACCTTACCTGGCCCAGCCGCTGCCTTTTCCTTAACCTCAGTGGTTTTCTTAATAGACCCACCAGAATGACTGAGGATCTCTTCTCTTCCTACCCAGGGGTGCAGAGATCAGAGTTGGGTAAGAAGTCACCCCATCTTCTTTTTAGGCATATTCCACCACTACCTCTTCAGGCTCTGCTGGTCTGGGCTACTCCATCCTTCAGAAATCCCCAGATGAGAAGCAGACACCAGAATGTTCGTACACGGTGAGCTCTCAGGAACTCACCACACTCCCCTCTGCTTTGATGGGGGCACCAGAATGAGCTGGCAGTTTTTGCAGCTCCGTGTGCACCCAGCTGGGAAGGCATTTTTCTTTTCTTTGTATTTATTCATTTTTAATGTTTTAAAAATTCAACTTTTTATTTTAGAGACAGTGGGTACATGTACAGGTTGGTCTACATACATATATTGAACCCAAGTAGTAAGCATAATACCTAACAGGTAGTTTTTCAACCCACGCTCCCCTCCCTCCTCCTCCTAGAAGTCTGCAGTATCTATTGTTCCCATGTTTATATCCATGTGTGCTCAGTGTTTAGCTCCCACATATACATAAGAACATGTGGTATTTGGTTTTCAGTTCTTGTGTTAATTCACTTAGGATTATGGCTTCCAGCTGCATCCATGTTGCTGCAAAGGACATTATTTCATTCTTTTTTATGGCTGTGTAGTATTCCATAGCATGTATGTACTACATTTTCTTTATCCAGCCCACCACTCATGGGCACCTAAGTTGATTCCATGTCTTTACTATTGTGAATAGTGTGACAATGAACATATGAGTACATATATGTTTTTGGTATAATGATCTATTTTCCTTTGGGTATACACTTAGCAATGGGATTGTTGGGTCTAATGGCAGCTCTGTTTTGAGTTCTTTGAGAAATCTCCAAACTGCTTTCCACAGTGGCTGAACTAATTTACATCCCCACCAACAGTGTATAAATGTCCCCTTTTCTCTGCAGCCTCATCAGCATCTGTTGCTTTTTGACTTATTTTTATTTTATTTTATGTATTTGTTTATTTTTACTGAGACAGGGTCTCACTCTGCCATCCAAGCTGGAGTGCAGTGGTGCAATCACGGCTCACTGCAGCCTCAAACTCCCAGGCTCAGGTGATCCTCCCACCTTAGCCTCCTGAGTAGCTGGGACTATAAGCATATGCCACTGCGCTTTGCTACTTTTTTGTATTTTTTTTTCCAGAGATGGGATTTTGCTATGTTGCCCAGGGTGGTCTTGAACTCCTGGGCTCAAGTGATCTGTCAGTCGTGGCTTCTCAAAGTGCTAGGATTATAGGCATGAGCCATCATGCCTGGCCTGACTTTTTAATAATTGCCTCTGGCTGGTGTGAGATGGTATCTCATTGTTGTTTTGATTTGCATTTCTCTGATGATTAGTGATGTGGAACATTTTTTTTGGTATGTTTGTTGGCCACTTGTATGTCTTTTTTTTGAGAAATATCTGTTCATGTCCTTTGCATATTTGGTTTTTGCTTGTTGATTTGTTTAAGTTATTTATAGGTTCTGGATATTAGATCTTTATTGGATGCATAATCTGTGAATATTTTCTCCCATTCTGTATATTGTCTGTTTACTTCGTTGATAGTTTCAAAGAAAATGAAATACCTGGGAATACAGCTAACCAAGGAGGTGAACAATCTCTGCAAGGAGAACTACAAAGCACTACTGAAAGAAAGGAGAGATGACACAAATAAATGGAAAACATTCCATATTCATGGATTAGAAGAATCAATATTGTTAATATGGCCATACTGCCCAAAGCAATGTACAGATTCAATGGTATTCCTATCAAACTACCAATGCCATTCTTCACAGAATTAGAAGAAACTATTCTAAAATTCATATGGAAGAAAAAAAGAGCCAAAATAGCTAAAACAATCCTAGGCAAAAAGCTGCAGGCATCACATTACCCAACTTCAAACTATACTATAAGGTTACAGTAACCAAAACAGCATGGTACTGGTACAAAAACAGACACATAAAGCAATGGAGCATATTAGAAAACTCAAAAATAAAGCTGCACACCTATAACCATGTGATCATCAGCAAGGCTGACATAAATAAGCAATGGGGAAAAGACTCCCTATTCAATAAATGGTGCTGGAATAACTGGCTAGTCATATGTGGAAGATTGAAACTAGACCCTTACTTTTCACCATATACAAAAATTAACAAGATGAATTAAAGAGGTCAGGTGTGGTGGCTCATGCCTGTAATCCCAGCACTTTAGGAGTCAGGCAGATTGCTTGACCTCAGGAGTTCAGCCTGGGCAACATGACCAAACCCGTTTCTACTGAAAATACAAAAAGGTAAGCAGGTGTGGTGGTGTATGCCTGTAGTCCCAGCTACTCAGTAGGCTGAGGCAGAAGAATCGCTTGTACCTGGGAGGCGGAGGTTGCAGTGAGCCGAGATCGAGCCACTGCACTCCAGCCTGGATGATGGAGTGAGACTCTGTCTCAAAAAAAAAAAAAAAAAAAAAAAAAAAAAAAAAAGATGGAGTAAAGATTTAAATGTAAGACTCACACAATAAAATTCCTAGAAGAAAACCTAGGAAATACCCTTCTTGACATTGGCCTTTGCAAAGAATTTTTGGCTGAGTCCCCAAAGACAATTGCAACAAAAACAAAGATTGACAGGTGGGACCTAATTAAACTAAAGAGCTTCTACACAGCATTCTTATTTTCCTCTATGAACCCCAAATCTGTATGGAGAAATCACCAGTCTCCACAAACACTGTACTCCCCACGGACTGACAACCCTGCTCTCTCTCTCAATCTTTTCCTCAGTCTTCTCTTTATATGGACCAGAGGGTGCAATAGGGATGAGGAGGTGGTTGGTTGCTGAAGGCCTACACCGCTACCTCTTCATAAGCCTTGGGGGCTTATGAGATCTGGCCTTACTTCTTGGATGCTCTCTCTACAACGTGGGGTACTTGGAGCCTCTTTGGTCTCAGCTGTGGTCAGAGGGAAAAAAAAAATTACTCAACAACTTGTTTTCCAAACTTGGGTCAAAAGCAGCCCTCTTGCAATCTTCTAACTTACTAGGTTCACTTTTTAAAATCTCTAATTGTGGGAAAAAATCCAGGTCCATTCTCAGAGAACAGTGTGCTTTATTTACCCACAAATTCATTATTTATAGAGTCTTGTCAAAGCACATTGTTTAAAACATATTTGCAAAAACTCTAGCCAATGACCTACTTGTACCTTTTTTGAAATGACTGAGGGAATTTACGGTAATTCCAGGCTGGGCTCCATGTGCCTTGCTCCCGCAGGATCTGACCTGGGGCGAGTGCGCAATGCACTGTGGTCTTTGTTTACTCCTGTGCAGGGTTAGACTTAGTACTCTCCAAATAGTGCCATACTTCTCTGTAACACAAAGTCCTCAATCTATTTACCTTTCTGGTAAAGATGCTTGCAAAATTCATTCGTCCATTTGTTTATTTATTTATTTAACATGTATTTAATGAACTCCTAGTATTGGCGGGAACTCTTCTAGACCCTGGGAATACAGTAGAGAATAAGACAGAGAAGACTAGTGCTCTCATGGAGCTGATGTTTCACTGGAAGTGTTATTATCAAGCTAGTAAGTATTTAAGATCATTGTATTACATTATATTGTACATGTATTTGTATATATGCTATACTGCTGCCAAGTTTAGATTGCAGCTGTATAGCATTTGGTTAATAATACCAACACTTAATCCTATCAGACCAGATTTGAATTTCAGCTTTGTCATTGACTGTGTGGTAGCTAAGGGCATGACATGAAAACATGCTTATGCTAAATTGCCAGATGAAAACGCAGACTACAAAATGATAGATATTGTATCACTTGGTGTTTATGTATTCATATATCTATATACACTTCGGAAATAGATTAGAGACCAAGTATGAAGGTTCTACAGTGGTTCTCCTCACCCCTCCCCAATCTTGGCTGATGAAATTAGTATTGCTTTTTATTTTTATCCTTATACTTATTTTGTATTTTTCAAGTTTCCATCAGTGAACATGTCCGCTTAACTAAGACTCATTCAGCTGAACTATGTCACGGGCACCTTCCTAGGTACTGAATATCCGCAGTGAAAAACCCAACTACACTGTTCCTGTCCTGATTGGGATTCCAGTGTTCAGATAAGAACAAATAACAAATATTTTATTTATAATACAGTTTAGAGTTTATAGTCCTCTCTCTTTTTCTTTCTCTCTCTCTCTCTCCTTATATGGACTAGAAGGTGCAAAGGGAATGAGGAAGTGGTTGGTTGCTGAAGCCAATTCTGTACACAAACACAACACACATACACACCACACACACACACAACACACATACACACCACACACACACCACACACACCACACAGACACACACACCATGCACAACACACATACACACCACACACACAACACACATACACCACACACACATAACACAACACACACACAACACAACACACACACATCACACAGACACACACACCATGCACAACACACATACACACCACACATACACCACACAGACACACACACCATGCACAACACACATACAACACACACACAACACACATACACCACACACACAACACACATACACATAACACACACACACGACACACATACACCACACAGACACACATACCACACACAACACACGTACACACCACACACACACAACACACATACACCACACAAACACATGCACCATGCACAACACACATACACACCACACACACACCACACACATACACCAGACAGACACACACACCACGCACAACACACATACACACACCACACACACATATCACACACATACACCACTCACATACACATACACCCCATATACTCCACATGCACAGCACATACACACACCACACCCCCCCAACACCCCTCCCACACACCATACACACACACACCATACATACACCACACACATACACACCCCACACACACCACACACACACACACACACCACAGCAATACATATGCAAACACATAGGTACACATAATGCATACAAATTAATAAAGATTACAATAAAATATGCTCCATATTCCAATAATCCTTACTCTGACCTTTTTCCCCAGTGTGATTGCATTTCTTCTCAGGCCTGCTTATCCCTCAGGATTAACCAATGGAATTTAGGTAGTTGACCTTGAGAACTAGAGGCCCTACTACCTTTTTCCCGAGTGTGATTGCATTTCTTCTCAGGCCTGCTTATCCCTCAGGATTAACCAATGGAATTTAGGTAGTTGACCTTGAGAACTAGAGGCCCTACTAATTTCTGGTGAAAGAAGTTTCTTCAAGATAAGGAAGAGAAAATGCTCCATTTTCTCCTGTAGCTGCTAGATCAGCAGTTAGGATAATAAAAGCTATACTTACAAAAGTTCTTTCTGTTTTGTTGAGATGGGAGTCTCACTCTGTCTCCCAGGCTGGAGTGCAGTGGTGTGCCTGCAACCTCCGCCTCGTGGGCTCAAGCAATCTTCTCACCTCAACCTCTTCAGTAGCTGGGACAACAGGTATATGCCACCATGCCCAGCTAGTTTTTTTGTATTTTTGGTAGAGATGGGGTTTTGTCATGTTGCACAGGCTGGTCTCAAACTCCTGAGCTCAAGCCATCTACCTGCCTCAGCCTCCCAAAGTGCTGGGATTACAGGTGTGAGCCACCCTGCTTGGCCACAGAAGTTATTTCTAACACAAGAATTTTGCAAAACAACAGTAGCAACGACAACAATAAAAAACGCTTTGGAGATTGTTACTGTGTTCTGTGAAACACTATAATATCTTATTTAATATTTAGACTTTAATCTATACCTTTGAAACAAAATCATTATTTTGAAGGAATCTACCAGACTAGAAAAAAATGATAGTTGGATTGTGCCAAGTTTTGGCAAGGACATGGAGCTATAGAAATCCTCCTGTACTGCTAGAGCATGTAGATGGGTTATCCTGGAGAGCAGTGTGACACTTGGAAGCAAAAGAAAGACATATGGACTAACAATATCACTCTGTTGATATACATGGTGATGGCAATGGTGGCCTGCCTGGTGTGGGCACTGCCAAGATGCTGGCAGCTGCAGGGGAGGCGCAACTGGGCTGTGGGCTCTGCAGAGCCAGAGAGAGCCGGGAGCAGACAGGAGCCCCACTCTCCCAGGTGTGGCTGCAGCTGCCTAACCTGTGGCTATGGACCTGGGCATGTCCTGCACTCTTGGCCCCTGTCCCTGCAGGCTCAGAAGTGCCTACCACTGCTGCCTGGTCTCTCCCCACTCCTGGTGCTCACTCTGATCTCAGAGCAAAGTTGAGGTCAAGCCTGGGCACTGTCATCAACCGGCTGGGTGTGCACACACTTGGGGCGGTGCTGACACGCCAGCCCCCTGCTGCCTCCACCCCCTCTGGACTTTGGGCACTGATGAGCACAGGAGGGAGGCAAAGGTGGATGCTGAAGGCAGCTCAGCGATGGCCTGCAGGTGCCCCTCTGCACAAACAGCCTGGGCACCATGAACAGCAGCAGGAGGCAGACAGGCTCCTGGGCGGAAAGGGGCAGGTCCCCAGTGAAGCCTCACCTTCAAGCCAGGGATGGCTGGAAGGCTGGGAGCCAGGCTTTCAGTTCCATGAACCAGAATGAGAACTTATAGTGCCTTTTCCAGGCCTGCCCATGGCCACCCATGGGTCAATCAGCATGCATTTTCTTCCTTCTCAGCCCATAAAGACCCCAAGCTCAGCTAGACTCAGACACTCCACAGGACGACCAGCTGTGGAGACGAGCTGCCCACTCCAGGGTCTCCTCTCTGCTAAAAGCTGGGAAGATGTTGGGACTACCAGTGGTCGGAAGAGGCTACCCAATTCAGGTCTCTTCAACTTGATGGGATGACCTGCCTGTGGAGAGGAGCCACCCACTCCAGGGTCTCCTCTAAGATATTCTGTCACTCAGTAAAGCTCTTATTCACCTTGCTCACTCTCCTCTTGTCTCTGTATCTCATTCTTCCTGGATGTGGGACAAGAACCCAGGACCCTCCAGACCCACTGGATAGCAGGACTGAAAGAGCTGTAACACAAACTGGGCTGAAACATCACCCTTGTTTTCCACATTGTGGGCAACATGAAGGAGAGAAGAGAGGAGAGAAGAGCTGTGACCCTTAGGGGAGCCCAGACTTAGGAGCTCCCCAAGCTAGGGCTGTGACACCCTCTTTGGGGTTCCATGGTTCCTGGCATCTCCAAGCTTCCAGGTACTACCGTGTTCCCTGGGACCCTCGGTGGAAGCCATTTGCGGTACGCCTGGTGCAGCCGAAGCCTCACAGGGAGCCCCTGCTGGTGCCTGGAGCTGCCTGCCCCACTACAGCCAGTGGGCCTGGCTGTCCCCTTGCTTACTCATGCATCCCCTGCCACTCTGTGCTTGGCTCACCCTTGGCAGGCATGACCTTGGGGCCAGTAGCACTAGCCAAATGCACCTGCCAGGTGGAATGAGCCCAGCAGGCCTGATCAAAACTTGGGCAAAGGCACCCCTGGCCACAGAGGTTTCCAGCAAGTGGAGTCTTTAGGTTTTTCCAAATATAAAATCATACAATCTGCAAACAAGGATAATTTGACTTCTTCCTTTCCAATTTGGATGCCCTTTATTTCTTTTTCTTATCTGTTTGCTCTAGCTAGGACTTCCAGTATTGTGTTGAATGACAGTGGTGGAAATAGGCATCCTTGTTGTATTCCCCTTCTTAGAGGAAAGGCTTTCAGTTTTCCTCATTCAGTATGATGCTACTTGTGAGTCTGTCACATATGGCTTTCATTATTTTGAGATGTGTTCCTTCTCTATCCAGTTTATTCAGCGTTTTTTATCATGAAGGGATGTTGAATTTTCTCAAATGCTTTTTCAGCATCAATGGAAATTATCATATGGCTTTTATTCTTCATTCTGTTTATATGATGTATCACATTGGTTGATTTGCATATGTTGAACCATCTTTGCATCCCAGGGATAGATCCTACTTGGTCATAATGAATGATCTTTGTAATGTATTATTAAATTCAGTTTGCTAGTATTTTGTTGAGGATTTTTGCATCAATATTCATCAGAGATATTGGCCTGTAGTTTTCTTTTTTTGACATGTCTTTGTCTGGTTTTGGTATCAGGGTAATACTGGCCTCATAGAAAGTGTTTGAAAGTATTTCCTCCTCCTTCTCTATATTTTGGAATATTTTGAGTAGGATTGGTATTTGTTCTTCTTTAAATGTTTGGTAGAATTCAGCAGAGAAGCCACCAAGTCCCAAGCTTTTGTTTACTGGGGGACTTTTTACTATGGCTTGGATCTTATGACTTGCTATTGGTTTGTTCAGGTTTTGGATTTCTCTCTGGTTCAACATTGGTAGGTTGTGTATGAGTCTAGGAATTTGTCCATTTCTTCTAGATTTTCAAATTTATTGGCGTATAGTTGCTCATGATAGCCACTAATGATCTTTTGAGTTTCTGCAGTGTCAGTTATAATGTCTCCTTTTTCATTTCTGATTTTATTTATTTGGATATTCTATCTTTTTTTTAGTTAGTCTGGCTAAAGGTTTGCCAGTTTTGTATAACTTTTGAAAAAAACAACTTTTTGTTTCAT